CCTCCTCCTCCTCCTCCTCCTTCTCCTCCTCCTGCATAAAGCACTGCGATCGCGGTGACTTCTTCATGACTCGAGGGAGTATGCTTCGTTAGGTCGGGAATGTCCTCCTAGAGGCGGATATTGGAAGACAAATGGAACAAGTAGTTCGTCGAAGCATGTTCCAAGTTGACCCCAATGTGTTAAAGAATCTTCCCCTGAATACTCTATAATCAATTTTGAAGATCCCTCCTGTGGAGGGACCTTTGTGGGCCCCAGAAACAGCAAGGCCGGCCGTTTTTTCACCGTTTCCGAAAAAATGTCCCTTGAAAATGGAAACGGCCAAAAAACGGCGACCGGAAACGGCAAAAAAACGGCTCCAGGATGGGAACCTGAGCCGGAACCAGTCAACAAACGGCGACGGAACCGGTGCAAAAACGGTGCCGGAACCGGCAACAAAAACGGCAAAACGGAACCGGTAACAAAAACGGCCCTGTCGTTTCCAGGGCCCACTGACCCTGACCTTCCAGAGAGCTATTTTTTAGCACTGGAGACCTAAAAATTTAAAAAGCTGAGCGAAACAGCCTAAAACCAAGACGTAGAATAGCTTTGGGATAGGTTTTTAAGTCCGGTGCTATTTTCTAGCCCTCCTGGAAGGTCAGGGGAGGGAGGGACCCACCCGACCTAAAGAGCGTGGGCCCCCCCCGTGCAGCCTGCGGCCCCGCGTGCCCAGCGAGCTCCGCGGCGGCCGCGCGCCAGAGCGCCGCCTCCTCGCGAGGCCCCCCGCGTGGGGCCGGAGAGGATCTCGCCGCACCGCCGATTCGGGCCGGCTAGAAGAGGGAGGGGGAGGAGGAGGGAGAGGAGGAGGGGGAGGAGGAGGAGGAGGAGGAGGAGGAGGAGGAGGAGGAGGAGGAGGAGGAGGAGGAGGAGAGGAGGAGGGAGGAGGAGGAGGGGAGGAGGAGCAGGAGGAGGAGGTGGAGGAGGAGGGGGAGAAGAAGAAGAAGAAGAAGAAGAAGAAGAAGACATCGACGATCGACACGAATCGGATCGGCGGAACTCGGCAGCCACGTCGGGAGACGTCGAGCCGGCGGACACCGGCAGGCCAGGAGGGCCTCCGTCGAGACCTCGGAACCTCCCCAAAGATCAGAGAGATCCAGAGTGGAATCGGAATCGGAGTCCATGGAAGAAGAAGAAGAAGATGAAAAAGAAACACCATAAACACCAACTTTGGGCGCTCCGCGCGGATTTCTTGGATCTGCGCGGCCCCCCTCCCTGGCGCGCGAGCGCGCCAGGGGCGGCGCCGGAGGCGCCGCCCGGGGGGTCCCCAGCGCGGGTCCAAGAAATCCGCGCGGAGCGCCGAAAAATTATGCTTATGGCGTGCGTCCTTCTTCGGGCCCATGGGCCTCGAGGCGCAGTCGAGCCGGGGGAGTCGACGGGCATCGGGCCGGGCGAAAGGGGGGGCTAGCAAAAGGGGGGGTTTGAGAATCAGCGCGCGTAGCTGATTCTCCCGGCGCCTTCCGGGGCGCCGGGAGGCGCCCACGTGTATCGAGGAATGGGCCCGGCGGCGGGGCCGAAACCAGCTGCATGCACATGCAGCAGATTTCGTATCCCCCCCCCCTTTCCCTCCCCCGCCCCCTTTCGTCCGGCCCGACCGGTGCAGCGGCGACGTCCGCGCGGAGGAGCCCGCGGGCTCCACGTCGAGCCGCATCGTCGAGGCGCCGGCGGTGCGCGCGCGTCGGAGCAGACGGCGCGGCGGCGTGCGAGCGACGACCACAAGCGGCTCTCGTCGGCGGCGCGCACGGGTCGGTAGGGGGAGGGGGGAGGGCGTCTCACAAGGAGGCCGCTGCTTTGAAGGCGCGGGCCTCACATCTATAGGCTGGCCATCGCTCGGACGTCCATTCCCTGTGCTTTTTTCGGTTTCGTGCGTGTTTTTTTTCGCCAGACGATCATGGATGCTCCTCGACGGTCCTCGCCGAAGGAAAAATGCACACGCCCGAGCGATGCCAAGCAGATGAGGCCCGCGCCTTCTGAGAGGCAGGGGTGCTTCCAAGAGGCCTTCCCCCCTCCCCCCTGCCCCCTCCTGCGCGTGGCCGATCTTGCGCGAGACGAAGCAGCGACCTTACGTGGTGGCCTATGCCGGCCGCCGGCGCGGCATGCCACACTGGAGACGAGGGAGCTCACGCGCGACCTTACAAAGGAGAGCCTGCGCGCCAATGTCGGCGCAGTGTGACCCGTTGTTGTTCTCGTCGCCCATCTTCTCTTGGGAGTCGACGTGTTTTTTGTTAACTCTCCCTCGTCGTACTTAAGGACTACATCCCAGAGCAGTATCGAAACAGCGTCTGCCCGACACGCTGGCGAGGTGTCGACCGAGTGCCGCCTCCCAGGGCCCGAAACGTGAAAACCCTCCATGCTCGGTGCTTCCTCAGTGCTCGAGAGTCTTCCTGGTGGCCAGGTTGACACATCGAATGATTCTTTATGTCTGCATGTCTCCCAGACCCCCGACGCCACAATCTGCTCAGGACGTCGACCCCCGGAGGTCTCGACCCCGTCCCCGGGACCGGCTTCTCCTCCCGACTCGTCCTCTGACGGTCCCGAGGCCCGGCGAGGGCCTCCTGAGACCGACACCGGCGCAAAACCTCCCGCCGCGATGTTTGCCACGACGCGAGGGGGCCATGCCCTGACCTTCCAGGAGGAGCACCCGACTTAAAAACCTATCCCAACGCTATTCTACGGTCTTGGTGTTAGGCTGCTTCGCTCAGCTTTGTAGGATTTTAGGTCTCCAGTGCTAAAAAGTAGCTCTCTGGAAGGTCAGGGTGGGCTTTCCCCTCCTCCCAGGTCCTCGCGGCTCCCCGCCGGCGGCAGCAGGCCCAGCAGGGACGGCGCCGCCGGGGCGCCCTGCGGCAGCGCCCGCGCCGCGGCCAGGCGCCGCGCGGCCGCCACCGCGGCCGCCGCGAGGCGGGCCTCGGCGGCCAGCAGCGCCTCCTCGTCGAACGGGGGGCTCTTTAGGTCGGGTGGGTCCCTCCCTCCCCTGACCTTCCAGGAGGGCTAGAAAAGAGCACCCGACTTAAAAACCGATCCCAAAGCTATTCTACGTCTTGGTTTTGGGCTGTTTCGCCCAGCTTTTTAGATTTTTAGGTCTCCAGTGCTAAAAAATAGCTCTCTGGAAGGTCAGGGCTCGACTACACGCAAGAGCTCCGTGGGCCCTGGAAGCGACAGGGCCGTTTTTGTTGCCGGCTGCGTTTCGCCGTTTCTGTTGCCGGTTCCGACGCCGTTTTTTTTGACCGGTTCCGTCGCCGTTCTCTTGCGGGTTCCCGCTCCGGTTCCAATTCTGGAGCCGTTTCTGTTGCCGTTTCCAGTCGCCGTTTTTTAGCCGTTTCCATTTTCAAGGGACACTTTTTCGGAAACGGTGAAAAAACGGCCCTGCCGTTTACGGGGCCCGCTAAGCGCAAAAGTGACCCTGGGTAAGAGTGACCTTTGGTGCGCGGCTTTTTGGGGGGCGCGAGAAGGCCAAACACAAGCGCGCAAGACGCTAATATCGCAACGAGCGCGGCGATCGGGGGAGCCCAGTGAGCGCGCACCAAGGGTCACTCTGGCGAAGGGTCACTCTTACGTCTAGTCGAGGGGTACAGAGGAGGCCCGTCCACAGGAAACCTTCCACAAGAAGCCCAACCCCGCGACCCCAGGACGTCCCTTGATTCTTGGTGCGGGGACGTCACGCCTTCCACAGCAACGCCGTCGAAGCCCAAGAAGAAACCCGGGGTACCCTGGAGGCAAGCAGGGTGTTTCTTGGCATGGGCCCCCACTGTATCCCCGAGAGCCTGGCGCTGCACTTGCCTCGAGCTGGGCGACTTCGCACCTTCTTCGGGCCCCCGGCTGGGCCCTCGCAGATCCTTCCGGCTCGAAACAGGGCGAATAAAAAGCCAAGCGTGATCTTTCGCGGTGTTGCATTTTGTCGCTACGTCGGATCTCAGGGATGGCGACCCCAATCCCCGACCTCGGGGCGTTTTCGACTGGACCAATAATTTGGGGCCCACCCCTGGGCTAAACAATGGGGAGGGGGGCGTCCATCCTCGATAGGGGTGCGACCGAGTGGCCCTCCGGGGGGTGTACCCCAGAGCCTCCCCCCTTTTCTGAACGGTCGAACTTTTCGGGCGGAGCTCGGGGATTGGGGGATAAGAATCGCCTTCGATCGTCGGTGGCGATAACTATCCGAACCCTGCCATCGCCGATCAACGATGCCAGGCCTCCTCGAGCCAGGGTTAAAAAAACGGCGGCTGTTTTTTCGCTCTTTTCGGCCACGGGGGTTCACCTGGCCTCGGGAACGTCAGAAGACGGCCCGGGATGAAAAGGCGGTCCCGGGGAATGGGTCCCTCCGGGGTCGACGTCATGAAAAAGTATATAATGATGTCGGAGCCTGGGATTCAGACAACTCGGTGGGCGGCGGGGGCAGTACGGTTCGGAACCCGTCGAGCATGTGACCAACGATCAAAAGCGGGTCTCACGCGAGATGATGTAGGGACCTTACGCCGTAGCTTATGCAGGCCGCCAGCACGGCACGCCACATTGAAAACGAGGGCGCTCACGCGCGACCTTACAAGGACAGCTAAAGCGACAATGTCGGCGCAGTGTGACCCTGTTTTGATACGTTGCTCATGTGGCAAAGTCCGAACCCCATCGTCGTTTTTCAAAATAGCGACTATGGCAATGGTGGTGATGGTGGTGCTCATGAAGATGATGGGAATGCTGATGTTGCTGATGATGATGATGATGCTGATGCTGATGCTGATGCTGATGACGACGATGATGATAATGATGATGATGATGATGATGATGATGATGATGATGATGATGATGATGATGATCACGATACTGATGATCATGCTGCTGATGATGATGATTACGATGATCATGCTCATCATCATCATCATCATCATCATCATCATCATCATCATCATCATCATCATCATCATCATCATCATCATCATCATCATCATCATAATCAGCATCGCCATGAACATTATTACCTACACCTGCCTCCCAGCGGTTGAGGAGCATCGATGGCCGTCACCGATCCTCGTGCTTGCGCAGCTCCGCCGCACGGTCGAAGTCTTCGGCCGCGGCCGCCTCCTTCTTGCGCTGGGCCACCTCCCGCAGCTCCTCGTCCGGGTCGCCCTCCTCCTCCAGCTCCAGCTGCCGCTTCCGGAGCTGGCCGGCCAGCCGGAAGTCCTCCTGGGCCACGGCCGCCTGCTTCCGTCGCTGCACGTCCCGCCACTCCTCCTCGCGGCGGCCGGCATTCAGCGCTCGCCGGCGCCGCGACGAGAGGGTGGCCACCGCCTCCGCTTCCGCGCCCTTCGCAGCGTGCGCGACCGCGTAGTCCTCCTCCTCTGCGGCCTTCCTCTTGCGGCACCGTACCAAGGAGACAGCGAGGAGGCATGCGCCCCAGTCGCCCGCGAGGTCTGCGCAGGGGGCCTCGCAGTGCGCGGCGGGGCGCCCCTGGGCCACGGGCGGCGGCGCCGGCGTTCCAGTGACCCCCGCTGCCGAGGCGACCTCGCCCTCCGGCCGATCCACGCAGACGACCTCGCCGCGCGGCCCCTCTGGCGTGCGCTCCGGCGCGTCGCGCGGCGGGGCCGACGGCGGCTCCGCGTGCTGCCCGCAGGCGGGCGCCTCCGCGCGCGCGCCGTCCTCCGCCTGGCCAGCCGGGCCGGCCGCCGGCGCTTCGCGCGCCGGCGCCGGCGCCAGGGGGCGCGGCGCGTGCTGCGAGCTGGCCTGCCACGCCTCGAAGGCCCGGGCGTCCACGAACTCCCCGCTGCTCAGCTCGCGCAGGAGGGCGCGGACCTCGGCCGCCGCCTGCGGCCCCGGAGCGGGCCGCACCGCCGGCCGCGCGATCAGCAGCTCGGCTGGTGCCCTCACGCGGACCTGCGCCCGGAGCTGACCGCCGAACGCGCCGCGGGCGAGGTCGAGCCCAGGCCTGCTCGTCGGCGCGAAGGGCCCGATCACGGTGCCCCGGTCGCAGTCGAGGAGGAAGAGCTTGGTTTTGGCCCTGATGGCCTGCCGCATGCTGCCCAGGGACCCCTCCGGGGCGGCCAGGACCCCCGCGGCCTCGCACTCCGAGAGCGCCTCGCCCCTGCAGTGGAACAGGTAGCCTGCGTGCTCCTGCGCCCCTGCAGCGCGGGTCTCCGCGGCCTCCGCGCCCGCGGCCGCCGTCGCCCCCGCAGCGCCCTCGCCCACGCCCTCCGAAGCGGCCGACCGCTCGCGGGCGGCGGCGACCACTGCGGCCACGCCTGGCGACAGGGGGCCGAGGGCGCCACCCTGCCACTCGAGCGCTCGCGCGCACGAGCCGGCAGCGACGAGGAAGCTCCATGCGCCGCTGCTGCACAGCCGCTGCAGGTCGCCCACCACGACGAGCAGCCGCCGGGCCCGGGTCAAGGCGACCGGGAGGTGCCTGCAGCTTGCCTCTGGCCAGGGCTCGCCGCTGGGGCCCACGGACGCGGACAGGATGATCGCCTCCTTCTCGACGCCCTGGAACGCGGACACCGTGCCGACCAGCACCTCGCTGGCACCGCTGAGGCCCCGAAGCGCCAGGTGGACAGCGGCCACCTGCCCTCCCGAGGCAGCAATGATGCCTGCATCGCCAGGCATGCACTGGAGCCCCTCCATCACGTGCCGAATGCACTTGGCCTCCTCGTCGCCTGCCTCCCCGCGGTCTTCCCCCTCCTCCTGCGCGGAGCCAACGTGCACGAAGGCCAGGTGGCCGAGGTCGTCCGGCGTCGCGATGGGCGGCGGGCCCTCTGCCAGCAGCAGGCTTGCCCGGAGCACGCCACCATAGAACGCCCGGCTGGGGAACGCCATGATCGCCGGATGCATCCGAAACTGCACGGAGAGCGCGTGGGGCCTGACGCCCAGGTCGACGAGGCGCTCGAACAGGCTGACGCCGAGGCCGCCCGCGCGCGCCTCCTCGCTCGCCAGCGTCGGCCGCAGCTGGCCGGGGTCCCCGACGAGCACCGCCTGCACGGCGCCCCTCGCCAGGGCCACGAGCGTCGCAGGCTCCGTGGCCTGCGCGGCCCCGTCCACCACCACGAACGGGAAGCTGGGGCTGCCGGGCACCGTGGTGCCTGCTTGGGCGCCCGAGTTATCCGGGGTAACGCGGGCCCGGGGTAACGCGGGTTTGGATTCCCGAAAAAACGAACCCGAATTAGCCCTGACCCGAGTTACCCCTGACGATTTGGGGCTCTGGGCGCCCGAGTTATCCGGGGTAACTCGGGCCCGGGGCAACGCGGGTTCGGAATCCCGAGAAGCGAACCCGAGTTGGCCCTGACCCGAGTTACCCCTGATGACTCGGGGCTCTGACCTGCGCCGACGCACGTGGCGCACACCACGTGGACGCCCCGCATCAGGCGCTCCCCGCGGCTGGCACCTCGGGGATGGACAGACCCCCTTTAGTAAAACGTGGTTTACTTGAAACGACCTGAGGCCCAAGCCTGGCCGGCGCCAGCCTGGAAAAGGACGGCCACGGCGCCCTCTCGAGAACCGAAAATGGACAATTCACCAATCGACGTGTCACTGTTGGGGGTTCTGTCCACCCCCGAGCACCTCCCTCTGGCTCGGGCCCGGCGCTCCGCAGGTGGGCGTCCAGCGAGCAGGGGACCTCCGGGTCCACGGCGCCAAGCCTCAGGACGCTGGCGCCGAGGGCCTGCAGCGAGTCGACCAGGACGCCCACGCCGCTGTGCGGCGCCGCGGCGGCCAGGATCGGGCCGCGGCGCGCCCGCAGCCAGGCGCGGGCCACCTCCACGGCGACCTCGGTCTTGCCAGTGCCTGGCGGGCCCTGCACCAGCGTCAGCTGCTGCATCTGCGACGCGACGGCGCCGACGGCCCTGGACTGCGCGGGGCTCAGCGGCCGCAGCCGCGGCGACCTGCATTGAGCAGGGACTGGCCGTCCCGGCATTCCTATATAGTCCTACCACGAAATGTTCTGAGAACCCATACATGCTCCAAGAACAAGAACGATGTTCTTAGACCAGAAACCCGATGTGCCAAAACAAGACAGTCCCAGCCAAACATGTTCTTTGTACATTTCGTGGAAACCACAAAAGGTTCTTAGAACATTGTTTGGTAGGGCTATAGGTACGCTAGGGCGCTTCGCCACTGCTTGAACCTGAGCTGGGCGGCCAGGCGGGAGTTGCCCGCCCGGCCCTTCCTGCTCCCGTCGGTCGCCCACGGCGGCTGCGGCACCTCGGCGTGGTGAGCGCAGGCCGCGGCGGCGAGCTCTGAGGCCTGCGCGCCCTTGTCCGCCACGGTGGCCATCAGCTCCCTCGCCAGCCGGCTGCACGGCCCCACCAGCCCCAGCCCTGCTCCCCCGCTCCAGCTGCCGCGGTCCATGGCAGCGAGGGTCCGGTCCAGGTGCCTGCGAGCCACCAGGTCGGGCCCCAGGTCCAGCCGCAGCGGACCCGCAGGCAGGGCGGTGCCACAGCGGACGACCACGCCCTGAGGCCTGGCGTCGAGGAGCTCCCCGAGGACAGTTGCGCCCCCGTCCCCCCCATCAAGCGACACTGGGCTATCCTGGCTGGTCAGCAGCACCGTCTGCCCCGGTGTCAGCGCGGCAATCGCGCTGGCACCGCCGGGCACTGCGACCGCCAGAGTCACAGAACCGCTGCCCGGAGGGCCTCTGGGCCGAAGCCCTGAGCACGCCAGCCCCTCCGCCTCCAGGTCGCGCAGCGGCCTGGCCAGGCGCTCCGCCGCCAGGGCGGCCTCGGCGACCCGGTCCAGCTCCAGCAGCCTCCGGAGGTGGGAGACGTAGCCGTCACGCACCAGGTCGACGCTCGGGGGCTGCTTGACGTGCCCCTGGCCCAGAGTGCCTCCAGAATCTCCAGGGAGGCCCCCGTGCACGACCCCCCAAGCGCACCCCGCACGGGGCCCCAAAGGGCCCCCGGGGCTCAAAGATTGAGCGGGAAGCTGGGGGCACCTTGGGCCATGGGTACACTCCAGCAGCCCCCGAGACGTAGGCGTCCGCCTCGCAGTCCCTGGCCACCGGTGTGGCGCCCGCGCCGGCGCCGCCCGCCTCCGGCCCGAGCAGAGCGTCCTCGCACTCCAGGGGGTCGCCGAACTCCGGCGACCCCTCATAGAAGGCGAAAAATCCACCCCCATAATAACCACCCCGACACGAGAAACCGTTTACTAAGCGCCCCCACTGAAGGAATCGAGCAGGGCAAGGCTGTTCAGCAAACGCCCAGGGCCGTTCAGTAAACGCAAATTGTCCGGTCCGGGTGTTTTTTTTTCCTCCCTTGACCTCAGGCTCGCGCTCGGCGTCGGCGGCGGCGCCTTCCCCGCTAGGTTGCTGACCGCGGGAGGAGGAAGGACGGCATCAGCATCAACGTTCGAAAGCCCGCCCGGATTTCTCGAGACCTGCGGTGGGCCCCTTCACCTGGCGTTGAGTCGGGCCTGTCCTCCTACAGGGACGGAAAATTAAAAATCATCCCAAACATGCACCAACGTGGTCAACACAATACTTAAAATCGCTCCCATACTATTTTTACAACTTTTGAATATTCCTCCTGTAGAGGGACAGGCCCGACGTAAGCCTGGCGCGTGGCGAGCACGCCTGGGGGTCGGTGCTGGAGGCGCCGCCACAGGGGAGCCCGGCGCAGACACGAGAAACCCGCGCGGGCCCTGGGGAAACCAACAGATGCCGACACCACTATAGCCTTAGGTTGCTCCCATCACCACATCCCAGAAATCATTTCGAGCACCCGGAAAAGTGTCGACAGAGTGTCGAAACGGTGACTCCCAGGGCCCGGCACGTGAAACATCTAGATTTTGGAGGTATTCTTCCGGCGCTCGACATTCTTTCTGCTGCTCAAGACTAAAGTAAGCTGGAACAGCATAACTATAGCCCCATGGACCCCTCCTGGTGCGCGCTCTGACCAGGAGAGTGCGAGGAGAATCCGGCCGCGACGCGGTGACGAGGGTGCTCTCCAGGACGAGCGGCAGCGGCACCGGCATCTTCTCCGCCTCGAAGGCCTCCGACCGCTCGTGCCAACGCCGCGCTTCCTCCGCCGACCTCGGCGGCGAGGTCCTGCAGCGCGAGGCAGGACCGGATCATGCGCGAGAGGCTGTCGCTCTCGGGAGCTTCGGCATCGGGCGGGCTCGCAGCGGCCATTGCTGCGCCGTGGGTGGCGGTCCCCGCTCGCGGCGGGGCGGCGTCGGGTGGTCAGCGATCGCCCACTTGGGGGGCAGCAGTACGCGAGACGGGCTCGGAGGGGGGGGACATCGAGCGGGACCGGCCCATGGGAGGGCAACCTCGATCGAGCTCGAGGTTCGAGGTCCGACGGTCGAGGCTCTCGGGCGCTCTCGCCGGTGCTCGGCGGCTTCCCAGCCTCGGGGGGCCCTCCAGCAGCTGAGGAGGGAGGAGGGAGGACGGAGGAGGGAGGAGGGAGGAGGCTTCGCCGAGGGCGCTCAGGGGGTGCCTGGATCGCCCCGAACGGCCGCCAGAGGCCCGCGCTCTGACCCGAAAAAAAACACCAGGGGCCCAGCTCACGAGTGGGAAGCATGCGAGCTGGGAGCTCCGATACAGTCGGGGCCTTGACCTAAGGAACCCTAAATAAGGAACGAGGCCCCTTTTTTCCATAAGTTGAACTTCGATTTCCGATCGAAAGCCTAAGGAAAGCCTGAGGCAAGCTGGGAAACACTTAAGGAACGCGGAGCCCCTCCCCAACCAAAAGGGTTCCTTCTTCAGGGCCCCGACTGTAGCGCGACTCCGCACCCTCCTGGGCGGGGCGGGCGGTCTGGTCCCAATCCCGGTTCCAATCGGCGATGGACTGGGCGATGAGGGGTAGATGCATCCCCTCCTGAGCCCATCCCCCCCAAACGTTACCCCTGGGCGGGGTTTGGCTATCCGGCCGCATGGGCAACACATGGGCGAGTGTGGGTCGATGCGTCCTCCCCCCCCTCCCCCGAGCCTCTACCCCCCTGGCGCTGCCCCTGAGCCCAACGAGCGAGCAAGCAAACACGGCTCTCGGGTGCTGTGTGGGCCCCGGAAACGGCAGGGCCGTTTTCAAAAAAAACAAAAAAAAAAGTCCTTTGAAAATGGAAATGGCAAAAAAACGGCGACCGGAAACGGCAAAAAAACGGCTCCAGGATCGGCACCGGAGCCGGAAACGGTAAAAAAACGGCGACGGAACCGGTGAAAAAAGGCGTCGGAACCGGCAAAAAAACGGCAAGACGGAACCGGTCAAAAACACGGCCCTGTCGTTTCCAGGGCCCACTAAGCTCGGGTGCCTGCCGAAAGATCGAGGAGGAGGAGGAGGAGGAGGAGGAGGAGGAGGAGGAGGAGGAGGAGGAGGAGGAGGAGAGGAGGAGGAGGAGGGAGAGGCTCGCCTGGGCCAGGATGGCTAATTACGGACCCGGCTGGTGGACTCTGGGAGACGGGTTGGGTCCATTCCCCCCCCCCCCGAGCCTGTACCCCCCCAGCGCTGCCCCCGAGCCCAACGAGCAGGCAAGCAGACACCGCTCTCGGGTGCCTGCCGAAGAATCGGGCCGCTGCTAGGCCAAAGAGCAGCGGGGACCCGAGTGGCGGCGGTGCCGCGGCTGCCCTCACCGGCGAGCGCTGCCGGCGGGGCCACCGCCCATGGCCCCGCCCGGCGAGGAGGAGGAGGAGGAGGAGGAGGAGGAGGAGGAGAAGGAGGAGGGGAGGAGGAGGAGGAGGAGGAGGAGGAGGAGGAGGGGAGGAGGAGGAGGAGGAGGAGGAGGAGGAGGAGGAGGAGGAGGAGGAGGGGAGGAGGGGAGGAGGAGGAGGAGGAGGAGGAGGTGGAGGAGAAGGAGGAGGAGGAGGAGGAGGAGGAGGAGGAGGAGGAGGAAGAGGAGGAAAGGGAGGAAAGGGAGGAAAGGGAGGGAGGAGGGAGGAGGAGGAGGAGGAGGGGAGGAGGAGGAGGAGGAGGAGGAGGAGGGGGAGCTCGGAGGAGGAGGAGGGTGAGGAGGAGGGGGAGGCTCGCCTGGGCCAGGATGGCTACGGACCCGGCTGGTGGGGCTCTGGGAGACGGGGCGGGTCCATGATGGGCCTTGTGCGCGGCCTCGCTCGTGCGGCCCCCGGCCGTCTGCCCATGTCCTGGAGCAGGGCGACGAGGGCCGTCCTGGAAGGGGTCGCTCCAGGGGTCGGTCGGGCCGCGCCCCCGGCTGCCGGGGCCAAGGCTGCACCACGGCCTGGCCAACGGGGCGCCACCTTCGACGGCGGGCTCACCGCGACCCCCTCTTGGAGAGCCGCGTCGTCGGGAGAGGGAGGAAAGGGAGGAAGAGGAGGAGGGGGAGGAGGAGGAGGAGGAGGAGGAGGAGGAGGAGGAGGAGGAGGAGGAGGAGGAGGAGGAGGAGGAGGAGGAGGAGGAGGAGGAGGAGGAGAGGAGGAGGAGAGGGAGGAAAGGGAGGAAGAGGAGAAGGAAGGAGGAGAAAGGGAGGAGGAGGAGGAGGGCGAGGAGGAGGAGGAGAGCAGGAGGAGGAGGGAGAGGAAGCGAGGAGGGGAGGAGGAGAGGGAGGAGGAGGAGGAGGAGGAGGAGGAGGAGGAAGGAGGAGGAGGAGGAGGAGGGGGGGAGGCCTGCGTCTTCGCCTCCCCGCGCAGCGATGCGCGCTGCCTGCCGCGCTGGGCCCTGCGCGGCCCTGCCCTGCCGCTCCCGGCGACGCCCTGGTCGGTCGAGCGGCGAGCCGCGTGGGCGCCATGCGCTCACAGCGCTGCCGCGCCGCGCCCTCCTGCGCCGGCCATGGCCTCTCCACGTGCTCGCCTGCCGAGGACGTCTCCTCCTCACCATCCTCATCAGTCCCTCTACTATCTCGTTGCTTGTTTTTTGTTCGTCCTCTCTCTCTCTCTTTCACTCTCTCCTCACTCTCCTTTGTTTTCCTCTCTCCTCAGTCTCTCCTCAATCTCTCCTCACTCTCTCCTCAATCTCTCCTCAATCTCCTTTGTTTTTTGTTTGTTCTCTCTCTCTCTCTCTTTCCCTCTCTCCTCGATCTCCTTCCGAGTGGCCCGCCACGGCGCCCCCTGGCATGCCGAGGCATCGTGGGATGCCAGGTGCTCGCCGGCAGGGCTGCCGCGATCCTCTCAAAGCCCACCTCACCCACCCCCCTCGGCTCACGGAGCGCCGGGTGCACCGCGCCGCCCCGCCCCCCCAGGAGAGCCCAGAGTCGGATCGACAAGTCGGATCGGCGATCGAAATGAATCGAATCGGCGGAAATCGGCAGCCGAATCGGGAAAAGTCGAATCGACAGAAATCGGAAGGCTAGTATGCCTCCAATAAGAAATCGGAGCCCAAATCGGAACCCCAAGTCGAATCGAATCGGAATCGGAAACCACCATCGGAATCGAATCGAATCGAACCGGAGGAGTCGAAACGAGCCCTGCCCCCCCCCCCCAAGGCCACGATCCCCTGAAACAAATTTAATGCGGGATGACGACTAATACAAATTTTGAGAAAGCGATTAAAAGCATAGTTTCTGCAATTTCGGCATATTTTTGTTGACTGGAGGAGAACGCGTAAAAGAATAGTCTTCCAGCCCGCGGCCGGTTTGTTCGAATCGTCATCCCGGGCGCCGCCGCGTGAACACGACCCCCAGTTATTTATTAATCGTCATCCTCCATGATTAGAGGCCTCCTTGATGGGGTCAGAGTCGATGGGGTCGGAGGATCGCGCTGCATCGCCGATACATCGGCGATGCATCGGCGATGTATCAGCGATGCATCGGCGATGCACTGGCGAAGCATCGTCGACGTGGGCGACGTATCGGCGACGTCGACGTCAAGCAAATCGGGCCCCACATCGAGCCGCATCGCCGATGCATCGTCGATGCTGCATGGTCCTCCGACCCCATCTGCTCCGACCCCATCGAGGAGGCCTAGAATTATGGGTCCGCGCTCGCGAGGCCCCCTCGAGGCCATGACCCCGCCAAAAGAACAGTGGGTGCGCGCTCCCGCGCTCCGTGCGCACTCCCTCCCGGGGGGGCCACGGCCCGCAGGCCCGCGCCCCCGAGCTTCTCCAGCACGGCCGCGGCAGGCAGCCCGGGCAAGCAAGGGACGGCCCGAGGCGGCCTCCCGAGACGGCCTCCCCAGGCGGCCTCCCAGGGCGGCCTTCCTGCAGCTCCAGGGGGCCCAGGAGGCCTCGGAGACGGGCCAGGGAAGGACCGAGAAGGCCGCCAGCCTGCCAAAGAGGGAGCGCGAGAGCCGCCGGAGATGGCGCGCGACGGCGCCAAGGCGGCCCAAGACGGCCCCCAGTCGGCCCAGGAGGGCCTTCGGAGCTCGAGCCCCAGGCTGGCCCGGGAGGGTCTCCGGAGGGGCCCGAGGCGGCCCGCGAGAACGCCCAGTTGGCCCAAGACAGCCCCGAGACGGCCCCACGCCGACCGCAGGAGACCCCCTGTGGACGGCCAGGAGGGCCCCAGGACGGCCCGGGAGAGCCCCCCCACGGCCCCAAGACGCCCCAGACGTGTAGGCCGGCAGACATGGGGCAAGATGACGTATAGCAGAGAAGAAGTGCAAACTGCATCAACAGAAGCTTTCTGGGGTCCGCGCGGATTTCTTGGATCTGCGCTGGACGACCCCCCTCCCTGGCACGCGGAGCGCGCCAGGGGCGCCGCCGGGAGGGCCCAACTCGGATCCGAGAAATCCGCGTGGAGCGCCAAAAAGTTATGTTTATGGTTTTTCTTCCCTCGACGAAGGCGAGATAGAGGCCTCCTAGATGGGGTCGGTAGATAGGGTCGGAGGATCGGGCAGCATCGCCGATACATCGGCGATGCATCGGCGATGCATCGGTGATGCATCGGCCATGCATCGTCGACGCGGGCCATGCATCGGCGACGTCCGCGTGGAGCAAATGGGGCTCCACATCGAGCCGCATCGGCGATGCCGACCCCATCTAGACGAGCGCGTTCCACTGCTCGCATAAACTAGCTACTCGCAAATGGCCCGGATCCGCCACAGGGCATCTGCGATAAAATGCATCAGAGCGGACGAGTAGCGCAACGCGCTCGGCGACCACCTGGGAGGCCCAGGCGAGAAGAGCCCTCCCGGCACGCCGCGGCAGAGCGCGCCACGCGCCACGGCCCGCCCGGGCCTCGGCGCCACGAGGCGCCACGCACGCGCTGGAGGGGCGCGCCCGTGCGCGGCCCCTCCCCCCCCCCCCTGCGCGGCGGAGCCCCCGCCCAGGGTGCCGGGGCTGGCCAGGGCGCACGGCTTGCCAATAGGGGGAAAACAAACCTACCTCGCTTTTGACCACCCTCGCTTCCAAGAGATACCAAACGATGCCAAACTACGGCCTGTACTGGTCAGGCCGCTTGACGAGGAGGCGCGTGGTATGACTTGGTTTTGCCTGGAAGCGAAAGCGGGGGAGGTATTTCACGCTCTGAGCCACGACGAGCCCATCCGCTCCATCGCAGCGGCGTGAGCCACGCGCGGCGAAGGCGCGGGCGGCGGGCGCGCGCGCGCCGAGCGAACGTCCGGAAGGAGGTGCGACGCCCCGCTGGGCGTCGCCCGCTCGGGGGGCCGGGGCGGCCCCGGCCGCGGCCTCTCGCGGCGCCGCGACGGCCCCCCGCGAGGGCAGCAGGGCCTTGCGCGAGCGAGCTGCGCTTTGCCCCCCCCGCCCTCCCCGAGGATCGAGGAGCACCTCGGACGTCCTCGGAGGAAGATGTTACACGTCTTGAGGCCCTTTTCGGGCCTCGGGTCTTCGGCCCTCTTCGGGCCTCTGGGGTCCTCCTGCGACCTTCGGGGGCCTCTGCAGGGGGACCTCCAGGGACCTCCTGGGGACCTCCTGGGGTCAGGCTCTCGGGAGGGGGGCGCAACACTTGCCAGCCGCAGGCCCCATTCGGTTATCGCAGCGTGAGCTCGCTGCAGTCTTCGCCGAGACCTCTGCACTCTGTCGAGCCTGCTCTGGGTCCTTCCGCCGAGTGGCGCGGCGCTCCCTGCCCGGGCCCGAGCCACAGCCCTCCTCCTCCCTGCCTCCCTTCCTCCGCCTCCCTCCCTCCTCCCTCCCTCCCTCCCTCCTCTCCTCCCTCCTCCTCCTCCTCCTCCTCCTCCTCCTCCTCCTCCTCCTCCTCCTCCCTCCTCCTCCCAGGCCCTCCTCCCCGCAGACTGCGGTCGGGAGCTCTTGCTCCACGCGTCGCCGCGGCCGCGGCGACGCGCTGCGCCCTTCGCTCCGCGGCGCGCGGCGGAAAGCTCGGGAGAGGCTCGGGCCGTCGAGGCTTTCGAGAGGTGGTCGGCGTGTTGCGCAGTAGCTCGGTGCGCCAGAATCGGGTCGGGCGAAAGGGGGGGGATAGAAAGGGGGGGTTTTTGAGAACAGCTCACGTAGCTGAGTTTCCCGGCGCCTCCCGGCGCCGGGAGGCGCCCATGTATCGAGGAATGGGCCTGGCGGCGGGGCCGAAACCAGCTGCATGCAGCAGATTTCGTAAACCCCCCCTTTCCCACCCCCCCCCTTTCGCCCGACCCGACAGAAGCAGCGGCGCGACACTCGAACCAAAAGTTCTGGACCATGGGTAGCCGCTGTCACGGAGGAGCGCAGGACAGCCAACAAGAAGCCCCAGGAGAGAGTTGGAGGAGGGACGTCGGCGGCCGCTTCCAGCGCATCGCTCTATCTCGTGCCGTGCGCCGCAGGATCGCAAAAATATGGCCGGCCACCGCCTTGCCTGGCCCAGCGGCCTATGAGCCTGGGCGCGTCAACCCCCCTCCTGCGCCTCCCTATAGCCTGCCGCTGATCCTTATCCCTCCTCCTGCTTCTTCTTATCCTCCTCTTTGTCTCCAAGCCCGTCTCCGTGCCGTTCCTCCTGTGTCTCCCTGCTCCCATCTCCCCCGCCGTCTTTGCCCCTTGCCCTGCTCCCTCGACCTCCCCATCTTCACCATCATTATCATCATCATCATCATCATCATCATCATCATCATCATCATCATCATCATCATCATCATCATCATCATCATCATCATCATCATCATCATCATCATCATCAGCAGCAGCAGCAGCAGCAGCAGCATCCATCATCATCCATCAGCATCAGCATCAGCATCAGCATCAGCATCAGCATCATCATCATCATCATCATCATCATCATCATCATCATCATCATCATCATCATCATCATCATCAGCAGCATCCTCATCCTCATCCTCATCCTCATCCCATCCGCATCCTCATCCTCATCCTCATCCTCATCCTCATCCTCATCCTCATCCCCATCCTCCTCCTCCTTCTCCTCCTCCTCATCCTCATCCTCATCCTCATCCTCATCCTCATCCTCATCGTCATCATCATCATCATCATCAGCATCATCAACATCATCCCCCCTTCTTGTTTTCCTCCTTATCCTTCTCCCGTCCACTCCACCTTCTGGCCCCTGTGCGTTCACATCATCCCATACCCGTCCTCATCATAACCCTCATCGTCCTCCTCTACCTCCACACCGCCCTCGTGGCAAATCGACCCTTACGCGCCATCACACCCAAACAAGCGGACCACACCGCAAAGTGGAGTCTGAAGGGATTCACCTCAACCGGTCCTAGCGCAAGAGAGGGCACCCGTAGGAATGGCGTCCGAATGCAGTGTTCTGAACTTCGGCCCGCATGTGTGGGATAGGCATCCATATATATATATATATATATATATATATATATATAAATGTACGCTTCGTGCAGCAGGTATGTACATAGGGTGCGGACACTGCTGGACCGTCGTAAAGACCCGACTCGTTTTCTTCGCGACTCTGCGCCACGAACTTCCGAGACCTCCTCATGCAGCCGCCTCAACGCTGCCGCAGCACGTTGACTGCACGCTGCCGCAACACGTGCTTCCCGACGCCAGCTTCATGTTGCCGCAACACCCGGTCTTGGCAACTCCTCTGACCAACTCTGGCTGGCGCTCGTTCTTCCGCTGCGTTCGCAGCTGAGCCTGCTGGGCTGCCTCCGACTTCACTGCCTGGTAGACCAAGAAGCCCATCATCCCCAGCCCGAACAGCTTGTTGCACATGCCGCCGGTGACCATCAGCGCCGTGCGCGCCGAGCGCAGACCGTCGGCGACGTGCACGCCCGCCATCGAGACATGCATGTCGTCTGCACTCGGCGCGTGGCGGCCGCTGTGATCCCCTGGGAAGGGAGGCCGCGAGTCTCCCCCCGAGCCTCCTGTTGCCCCTCCTACTCCTCCTTTTCCTCCTCCTCATCATGAAATTTCTCGTTCTCCTCCTCCCTTTCCTTCCCATCCACATTCTCCGCCTCGTTACACTGGGCCTCCAACCGTCCTCTCCCTCCGCCTCCTCCTCCACCAACCTCCTCCTCCTCCTCCTCCTCCTTCTCCTCCTCCTCCTCCCCCTCCTCCCCCTCCCCCATTCCTCCTCCTTCCTCCTCCTCCTCCTCCTCCTCCTCCGCCTCCCTCCTCTCCTCCTCCTCCTCCTCCTCCCCCTCCCCCTCCTCCCTCTTCCTCCTCCTCCTCCTCCTCCTCCTCCTCCTCCTCCTCCTCCTCCTCATTCTCCCCTCTCCCCCCCACTCCCAGCCAGACCTCCTCATTCGGAAGCGGGACCGCCGCCAGCGTCTTCCGTTCGCTCGGTGGGAACGCGTTCCAATCACAATATCAAGCTGTGCCACTCATTGTTCTTCTGCAACACGCATTGGGGGAAGGTGGGCACGGGCCGGGCCCGCTGACTCGTTCGGCCTGGCTAGCTTGCCCCACTACTTAACCCTCCCGCCTCCATCATCAGATCCCCAACGTCATCCTTTTGTCATAACATCGACCCCCAAAGGTCTCGACCCGTTCCCCTGGACCAGTTTTTCGTCCCGAGTATTGGACGGTCCCAGGGCCAGGCCAGGGCCCCCGGAATCCCAAACAGAGACAAACCTGCGGCCACGATTCCTACATGACTCGAGGGGGTCTGGGTCCTCATCCCCTCCTCTTCCGTCCTGGCGCCTCCCTCCTCCTCCTCCTCCTCCTCCTTCTGCTCCTCCTCCCCCTCCATTGCGCCTTTCATCCTCCTCCACTGCGCCTCCATCCTCCTCCTCCCTCCTCCGCCTCCTCCTCCTCCTCCTCCTCCTCCTCCTCCTCCCTCCTCCCTCCTCCTCCTCATCCTCCTCCTCCTCCTTCGCCTTCCCCTCCTCCTCCTCCTCCTCCTCCTCCTCCGCCTCCTCCTCCTCCTCCTCCTCCTCCTCCTCCTCCTCCTCCTCCTCCTCCTCCTCTTCCTTCGCCTCCCCCTCCTCCTCCTCCTCCGCCTCCCCCTCCGCGCCTCCCAGGAAGCTGCTGGCTGCCGCGCTGGCGACGCCGTGCGCGCAGGCCGAGGGCGCGGAGCCGAAGAGGAAGTCCTCGCGGGAGCTTGCCGAGCTCAGGGGGGGCAGCAGGGGACGGCCCGTGTGGGAACACACACACACACACACACACGCACACGCACACGCACACGCACACATATACACATATAAATATATACACGCTCACACACAAACACACGCACACACCTGCACACACACACACACACACACACACACACACACACACACACACACACACACACACACACACACACCACACACACAAACACACAAACACACAAACACACAGAACACACAAACACACAAACACACACATACACACAACCACACACACACACACGCACGCACGCACGCACGCACGCACGCGCGCACGCGCACGCGCACGCGCACGCACACGCACACGCATACGCACACGCACACGCACACGCAGCACACAATCCCCGATCGAGCACTGAGTCCGGTCCAATACTGGTCTCGGCTGTTCGAACAAACTGTTAGTTAAAAGCGGTCCCACGTTGTGCATGGCCTGCCTCTGGAACTCTTCGGGCTTGCCCGCAGTGACGAATCAGCCACGGCCGCAGATAGCGAAACAACTCCCGCCGCCATGTCTTCACGACACGAGGGGGTCTGCGGGCAGATCCAGGCGTTGTAGCCCTTTCGCGTAGGGCGCGCTCTCGCGCGCTTCCAGGCCCTGGGGCCCGCCCAGATCGATCTGGCTCGCTCATCAGGCAGCACACGCATATGGGCTCTATATAGTGGGCTTCAGTTGAGAATTTTTGCACCGCTGCATTTTGTTCGCAGCGTCGGATCTCAGGGGGGTGGGCAGCGCCGGCGACGTCCTGATCTCTTCAGGACGGCGTCCCTGGAAGTCCCGACCCTTTCCCCGGGGCCGGCTTTTTTCGTCCCTGGCAATTCTTTGCCGGCTCCGAGGCCCGGCGAGGGCCCCCATGCGGGGGCCGAAAATAGCCCCCCAAACCTCCCGCGTCCTCATGTTTGAAAGACGCTCTCATGTCGGGGGGTGGAGCACAGGAGGAGGAGGAGGAGGAGGAGGAGGAAGAGGAGGAGGAGGAGGAGGAGGAGGAGGGGGAGGCGAAAGAAGGAGGAGGAGGAGGAGGAGGAGGAGGAGGAGGAGGAGGAGGAGGGGGGAGGGCGCGCAGGGCCTCGTGGGAGCTCGCGGACGCGGCCCCCGGCAAGGCCGCGGCGTGCAGCCCCGGGCCGCCCCGCGGCGCGGGCAGCGCGCCGCACGCGCGCCACGGAGCCATTGATGGGGGCGCCCGCCCGCCCCGAAGGCCGCCCGGCAGCGGCGGCCTTCGGGCGGGTGGTGAGGGGGGGCGGCCTCACCCCAGACACGACCGCGTCGCTAAGAGAATCAGGACGGGAAAGTCTGCGGCTGCTTTCGGCCCCTGCATGGCCCTCGCTGGGCCTCGGGGGCCGTCCAGCAACGACTCGGGACGAAGAGCCCGTCCCGGGAAAGGGCCGGGACTTCCAGGGAGGCCGTCCTGCAAAGATCTGGACGTCGCATGTCTGGGACTGGGGGGGGTGAAGACGAGGGCCCGAGAGGAGTGCCCGAAAGGAGTTCTCCAGGGCCCTCGCCATCACCCCCCACAGGAGTCACCCCCCACGACCACCCGCCCGATCCCGTCGACTCTGGCCCGCCGCCGGCCCCCGCGAGCCAGAGCGGCCTCGGAGGAGCGCGGTCAAAGCTGGGAGCAAGGATGCGCGACGAGGAGGCAGGGACCTTGGGCGCCCACGTCGGCACCTTTTTGTCCAGTGGGGCTGGCCGTCGAGGATGGACCGAGGGGGAAGGATGGTCCGAGGAGGCAGGGATGCAAGGGGCACCCTCGGGCAGAGTACCCTTAAGTCGGGCCTGTCCCCCTACAGGGGGGTTTTCGACGAAAAATGAAAAATCCCCCCAAAATAATAAAACAAAATCCAGCAATAGTCTGGGGACTATGTTTTGAGTATTTTCTTTACCTTTTGGGGGTATGTTTGGGGTATTTTCATTCGTCGTCGGCGAAATCCTCCTGTAGGGGGACACGCCCGACATAATGTAAGGGGCACCCTCGGGCAGAATACCCATCATCCCTCCCGTCGGTCTCGACCGCAGCGGGAGGACGCCGAGGCAGGACGCAGGCCTGCGCGCCGCCCCTCCCCTCGGCTGCAATTACGCAGGAGCGGCCCTGGGCGCAGGAGTGACCTTCGGGGCGCGGCTTGTGGGGAGCGCGAGGGGGCCCAACCCCACAGCTCGGGGATGGACAGACCCCCCTTCAGCAAAACGTGGCCCAGTGAAAACGACCTGAGGCCCAAACCTGGCGGGCGCAGGCCTGGAAAACAACGGCCACGGCGCCCCCTCGAGAACCGAGAACGGACAACTCACGAATCGACGTGTCACTTTGGACGCCCGAGTTATCCGGGGTAACTCGGGACCGGGGTAACCCGGGTTTGGATTCCCGAAAAAGGAACCCGAGTTAGCCCTGACCCGAGTTACCCCTGATGATATGGGGCTCTGGACGCCCGAATTATCTGGGGTAAGTCGGGTCCGGGGTAAGTCGGGTTCGGATTCCCGACAAACGAACCCGAGTTAGCCCTGACCCGAGTTACCCCTGGTGATTCGGGGCCCTGATCACTGTTGGGGGTTCTGTCCACCCCCGAACAGCGCGCACTCGGCGATCGTTGCGGGCCCAGAGGGCCCGCCACGCGATCGGGGAGAGGCGTGCTTGCCCGTGGCGGGCGCCCGGGGGGCTCCGGAGGCCAACGGGCGGTTTCCCGACGCACAGTCGGGGCGTTGACGTAAGGAACCCTGAATAAGGAACGAGGCCCCTGTTTTCTGTAAGGTAGCCTTCGACTTCCCATCGAAAGCTTAAGGAAAACCTTGGGCAAGGTGTGGAACAATTACTCCAGATTTCGTAATAAAGGGAGGGGGGTCTCATTTCGGGGGGGGGGTCTCTTCCAGGCTATCTTGGAGGGCCTGGGGGGGTCTGGGGACGATGTTTTGGAGGGTTCTCCCACGGGGGGGTCTGAAATGGCTTGTCTTGGAGGGTTCAGATCCCCCCCCTTTCTATAACGAAACCTGGAGTAACCTTCGACTTCCCATCGAAAGCTTAAGGAAAACCTTGGGCAAGGTGTGGAACAATTAAGGAACACCGAGCCCCTCCCCAGCGAAAAAGGGTTCCTCCTCCAGGGCCCCGACTTTATGCTGCTGGCCTGTGGAGGCCCGCCCCGGGCCTCGGGGCCGGCAGGGGGCGACCCAGGGCCACGAACTCGCCCCCTCCCTCCCTCCTCCTCCTCCCTCCTCCTCCTCCTCCCTCCTCCCTCCTCCCTCTTCCCTCCCCTCCCTCCTTCCCTCCTCCTCCCTCCTCCCTCCTCTCCTCCTCCTCTCCTCCTCCTCCCCCTCCTCCTCCCTCCTCCTCCTCCTCCCTCACTCCTCCTCCTCCCTCCTCCCTCCTCCCTCCTCCTCCTCCTCCTCCTCCCTCCGTCTCCTCCTCCCTCCTCCTCCTCCCCGTCTCCTCCTCCCTCCTCCCTCCTCCTCCTCCCTCCGTCTCCTCCTCCCTCCTCCTCCCTCCGTCTCCTCCTCCCTCCTCCTCCTCCCTCCTCCTCCTCCACGAATGCGTCCCCGGGACAGCATGGCATCCGGAGGCCGGCGTGGGGAAAAAACACCCAAAACGTTGGGGGTGAGGGTCCCGGGGAGAGTGGAGACGTGAGGCTCGGGTCCGAGGGACTCGGGTCGGCCGGAGAGGGCCATCGCGGAAATGACGGGACCCAGCCTGAATTACGAGGCCGACGTGGCATCACAGCAGCAATTCGGCCCCTGACTTTCGTCCTGGGCTCGGTTTCGTGGAGTGGTGAATTTCGGGGCCCTTGCGTGGGAAACAACGTCACTTCACTAATCTGGGGCCCCTGGGGCCTCAGTGGGCCCTGGGGCCCAAAATCAGTGAAGTGATGGTTCTCGGGCTTCAAGTGAATACAAAAAAACAAAATGACAAGACGGGGGAAACGACGAAGAACCAACAAACTCCAGGACCAAGACCGGGGAACCAGAGCAAGGCAAGAAGGAAAGAAAGACCAGAGAACCGATCAACGCTAGGGTCCGCCTCTGAATTGGGAGGTGGCAAAACGAATAAACCGCCGTTGAAGCTTGGCATTGCTCGGCATTGCTCGGCACTGTCTGACTTTGCACGGGCCGGGACACCCAAGGAACAAGACCGGGCAACCCAGAGGGACAAGACCGGGAGGCCTGACAAAGTAAGGCACGGAACAAGACCAGGGAACCCAAACAAGACGGGGAACCAAAGGAACAAGACCACGGAATCCAAGCAAGACATACGAGGAAACCAATACCAGGAAACTGCAGGTTTGAACCCACTTCACAAACACATATGAGAAACCCCTCCGGCGCGAAGGCTATCGGGGAAGGAGAAAGAGAGGGGGGGAGGGGGGAGGAGAGGGAGATGGAGGTAACAGACACGGCGCGAGGAGCGCACTGGGAGCGTTGAAACTAACTGCCCTGTCCTGTCGCCCGTACGCACGAAAGCGACGATCGCAGGTCTGTAACCGATTGTGCTCGGGTCCAGCCTCGCCTCCGACATCTCGCTGAGCAGCGCCAGCGCCCGCTGCCACTGCTCTCCCTTCTCGCGCGCACTGATCTCAGCGTTGAAGCTGACTAGCGTGTACCTGTGGTGTGATCACCGCTATCGACGTTGAGGGGGGCGGTGCTTGTAGGGCGTGCCTGCGACATAGATGGGGAAGCAGTTCTCGTGGTCGTATCACTCATCGAATATGGACGAACGACGATGACGTCGGCCGCATCTGAAAATCTGTCTGATTCTCTGTCCGGTCACATGTGTGACCCAATGCGGACGATTAGTGACGGCGACAACGACAAGTCGACGACGACGTCGCCGCCCCTCGTGGGACGGACTCGCTGAGGGGGATCGCCTCAATCCAAACATTGGAGTGCAGTGCGTGTGGGGCGGGCCCGCCCTGGTGGCACTAGAGCGGGTGCAGCCGACAGGCGTTCGTCATGCCCTCCAGCGAGGAGCGATGACGGTAGCCCAAAGGTAGCTGGAGCGATGACGGGCGCTGGGGCGATGACGCTAGCCAAAAAAGAAGCTGTCGGACGAGTTTGCCTGTGGCGGGCGTCCGGGGGGTCCGGATGCCCACGGGCGCTTTCTCGACGCTGCTGGCCTCTGGAAGCCGGCTCCTGGCCTCGGGACCGGCAGTGAACGACCCATGGACAGGGCCACAAATTCGCCCCCGGGGCATCATGACATCCGGAGGCCGACGTGGGAAAACACCTAAAACATTGGGGGTGAGGGTCCCGGGGAGAGTGGAGGGCGCGCAAGCATGGGCTGGCGATCCGTGGATTTGGCGCGCGGTCGCCAAATCCAATGGATCGGGGGAGGTGCCCTCCCGAAAATGCGGCCGGTGCCGCCTCGCTCGGCGGCGGAGATCCGCGATTTCCCATGGAAACGGGACCCGCCGCTAATCCACGCCCCTTGAATCCATGTTCGCGATCGCCTGGGAGAGGCTGCTTACTAGGGAATCGAACTCTATATATACATATACACCGACGCTCTTTCTGGCCCTGCATTGAAATTTGCACTGGAACGCTGATCCCGGTGTATACGGGATCCTGGTGTATACATTTCTCGTGGTCTCCCTTGAAACACTGGGGAGGAGCATACACCACACCACCCCGACGTCGCCCCCCGACCCTCGAAAAGTCGTGGAACTGAAGCAAAACACGCCGCTGCTTATAGTATATGCTCCAGCTTCCAGCTTACAGTCGGGGCGCTGAAGAAGGAACCCTTTTTGCTGGGGAGGGGCTCGGTGTTCCGTGACTGTTCTACAGTTTGCCTTCTGTTTTCCGGAGGTTTCCCATGGGAAATCGAAGTTCAACTTATGGGAGAAAGGGGCCCCGTTCCTTTTTTAGGGTTCCTTAGGTCAACGCCCCGACCGTACCCCGAGTCGCCCTCGAACCGCCCGGGCCCAGGACAGCCCCCGCAGGCCGACGAGCGCGGAGAGCCTGGCGCCACCCGACGGCCGCACGCCGCGAGAGAGAGCGAAAAGCTGGAGTGACGCGAGCGCGATCGCCAGCGCCTCGGCCGGGGACGCTGGGAGAGCTCCATGGCTGGCGCTGAGTGGTCCTCCTCCTCCTCCTCCTCCTCCTCCTTTTCCTCCCTTTCCTCCTCCTCCTCCTCCTCCTCCTCCTCCTGCTCTTTGGCTTCGCAGCGGCCCGATTCTTCGGCAGGCTCCCGAGGGCCGTGTCTGCTTGCTCGCTCGTTGGGCTCAGGGGCAGCGCTTCGTGGGCCCTGGAAACGACAGGGCCGTTTTTGTTACCAGTTCCGCTTTGCCGTTTTTGTTGCCGGTTCCGGCGCCGTTTTTTTTACCGGTTCCGTCGCCGTTCTTTGACCAATTCCCGCTCCAGTTCCAATCCTGGAGCCGTTTTTTTTGCCGTTTCCGGTCGCCGTTTGTTTTGCCGATTTCATTTTCAAGGGACAGTTTTTCGGAAACGGTGAAAAAACGGTCCTGCCGTTTCCGGGGCCCACTAAGTGTAGGCCTACCAAACAATGCTCTAAGAACCTTTTGTGGTTCCCACGACAGGTTCTTAGAGCAATTCTGGCTGGGACCGTCTTGTTTTGACACATCGGGTTCATGTTCTAAGCGCACTGTTTTGTTATGAGAACATGTTTGGGTTCTCAGAACATTTCGTGGTAGGCCTATGGGGATGCCGGGACGGTCGGTCCCTGCTCAAAACCTGGGACACCAGAGACGCCGGCAGGGGTCCAAATCTCCGACGATGGTGCTTGCAGTTTCCCAGAGATTCGGCCGCCAGGGGCCTTTTTCTTGGTACCGGGACGGTTGGAGCCGAGGTGAGCCGAGGTGGCGCGTCGGTGCCCGAGCCCGAGATGGGTGCCATGGGGCGAGCAGGCTTTGTGCCGAGCCCTTGTGGCACAGACAGACGGTAGAGGGAAACAATTACTGAACACTTCCCCTCCCCCCCAAGCTCAGTGTTGGCACGCGCGGGAGAGACTGCGGTCGAAGTGCATCTCATCAGACCCACCGCCAACTTTGACCATTGGGGCGAGGGGGAGGCGTTGACGGATGAATGTGGCATGTGTTCGCTAATTTGTTCCGAGGCCTGGAAGTCCCGAGGCCGAAGAAGAGGGCTCCTGGGAGAACGATGGCGGGGAAGCGGAGAGGAAGCCGTCGCCGTGGTCGTGGCGTTGTCCAGCTCTGGGATGTCTTGGGACGCCGCGGGCTCGGAGAGAGTCTCGGCACCCGAGGCGCCGAAAGCGTAATTAGGTGACTGGACACCGGCGGAGGCCCGAGAGGACGCCGGCAGGAGATCAGGATCACTCTCAGGGGCGGCACAATGGACTCACTCAGAGCCCCGAATCATCAGGGGTAACTCGGGTCAGGGCTAACTCGGGTTCGTTTTTCGAGAGTCCGAACCCGAGTTTCCCCGGACCCGAGCTACCCCGGATAATTCGGGCGTCCAGAGCCCCAAATCATCAGGGGTAACTCGGGTCAGGGCTAACTCGGGTTGGTTTCTAGGGATTCCGAACCCGACTTACCCCGGACCCGAGCTACCCCGGATAAGTCGGGCTCCCGAATCACTCTCAGGGGCGGCACAATGGACTCAGGACGACCTCCAGTGGTGACCACAGGACTCGAAGGTGGCGCCAGAATGCTGTCAGGGAGGCCCCAAGATGACCTCTCCGCGTGACCCGAACGCGGCGGGGCCCCCAAGCCAGCTGCCAGATGCCACATGCCACGGTGTAACTTTTTATGAGCTCCCTGGGGGCCGCCCACGGGGTCCGAGATGCCGCGAGTGTCGCTTGGGAGCCTGGCGCGTGTCCAGGAGCCAGACGCCCCAGCCTTCTGCGTCGCGCGGATGTGAGGACCCTGTTGAAGGGGCCCCAGGACACACAAATAAATACACACAAATAAAATAATTCTCCATATTTTCATATATTTTCTGGGTTTTTTTCTTCCCCCCCACTTCCCATATGTTCCCCTATCTTCTGGGGAATCGAAGATTACTTGTGCCTTTGTGTTTTTCCCTCTCCTGATTCCAGGGGCGGCACAGTGGACTCAGGACGACCTCCGGTGGTGGCCGCAGGACTCGAAGGCGGCGCCAAAATGCTGTCAGGGAGGCCCCAAGATGACCTCTCCGCGTGACCCGAACGCGGCGGGGCCCCCAAGCCAGCTGCCAGATGCCACATGCCACGGTGTAACTTTTTATGAGCTCCCTGGGGGCCGCCCACGGGGTCCGAGATGCCGCGAGTGTCGCTTGGGAGCCTGGCGCGTGTCCAGGAGCCAGACGCCCCAGCCTTCTGCGTCGCGCGGATGTGAGGACCCTGTTGAAGGGGCCCCAGGACACACAAATAAATACACACAAATAAAATAATTCTCCATATTTTCATATATTTTCTGGGTTTTTGTTCTTCCCCCCCCACTTCCCGTATGTTCCCCTATCTTCTGGGGAATCGAAGATTACTTGTGCCTTTGTGTTTTTTCCTCTCCTGATTCCAGGGGCGGCACAGTGGACTCAGGACGACCTCCGGTGGTGGCCGCAGGACTCGAAGGCGGCGCCAGAATGCTGTCAGGGAGGCCCCAAGATGACCTCTCCGCGTGACCCGAACGCGGCGGGGCCCCCAAGCCAGCTGCCAGATGCCACATGCCACGGTGTAACTTTATGAGCTCCCTGGGGGCCGCCCGCGGGGTCCGAGATGCCGCGAGTGTTGCTTTGGGGGGGCCAGCGTGTGTCCAGGAGCCAGACGCCCCAGCCTTCTGCGTCGCGCGGATGTCGGCTACACGTAAGAGTGACCCTGGGTAAGAGTGACCTTTGGTGCGCAGCTTTTGGGGGGCCGCGGCGAGGCCAAATCCAGGCGCGCTAGCCGCTGCTCCCGCTTCGCGTTCGGCCATCTGTGGGCCCATCTGTGCCCGCACCAAAGGTCACTCCGGCGAAAGGTCACTCTTACGTCTAGTCGAGGATGTGAGGACCCTGTCCAAGAGCTCCCGGGCCGGTCTTGGAGCCTGCTGGGTTTCCGCTGAGGTTCGTGCGAGAATCTAATGGGGTCCTTTGTGGAAGGCTTCAGGAGGCGTGACGCCCAGGGAGAGAGCCTGAAACATAGGTGGTCCAGAGGGCCTCGCGGCCTCTTGGCAAGATTTTCTAACACCTCTCTCAGCCGGGTCCTCTCGGAGCTGCGGTAGGTCTTCAGGGAGAACTCAGGCGTTCCCCAGGGAGGTTCGGAGAGGGCCCTAAGTGCACCCCACGAAGGTCCAAAAGCAAGTGGCGTCACTACACGTGCTTTTAGGCTCTCTTGTGATCCACCTGACGCCGTCTTGAAGGTCCCTCTGGGGCTTCTTGGGATCCACTTGGGCCTACCCTGGGGCTTCAGGCGGGACTTAGGCGGCGCTTTGGAAAGCTCCGAGAAGGCCACAAGTGGGCCCGGAGAGAATCCAAAAGCAAGTGGAGTGACGCCACTTGCGTTTGGGCTATCTTGGGGTCATTCTGGAGCTCTCTTGAGGGGCTCCTTGACGCCTGTCGGCGTCCTCTCGGAACTACCCCGGGGCTTCAGGCAGAAGTCAGGCGCGCTCCTGGGAAGCTCCAACAGGGCCCCGAGTGCATCCCAAGAGGGCCCAAAAGGAAACGGCGTCACCCCACTTGCTTTGGGGCTCTCTCGGAATGCACTTCAAGCCGCCTTCGAAGCGTCCTTGTGATCTCGTGGGGCCCGCTCCTGCCAACCCTGCTGCTTCAGGCGGGACTGATGCGGCCTCCGGGAGCGCTCGGAACTACCCCGGGGGCTTCAGGCAGAAGTCAGGCGCGCTCCTGGGAGGCTCCAACGGGGCCCCACGTGCACCCCAAGAGGGCCCAAAAGGAAGTGGCGTTACTCCACTTGCTTTGGGGCTCTCTTGGAATGCACTTCAAGCCGTCTTGGAAGCCTGGGCTTTTGCGGCTCCCTCCTGCCTCCCCCGTGGCTTTAGGCGGGACTGAGGCGATTCCTTGGAGCGCTCCGAGGGGCCCCAGGTGGACCCAGAGAGAATCCACAAGCAAGTGGCGTCACTCCACTTGCTTTTGAGCTCTCTTGGGATCCCTTTGAAGCCGCTCTGAAAGCCCTTCTGGGGCCCCGTGGGGCCTGCTTGGGCCTACCCTGGGGCTTCAGGCGGGTCTTAGGCGGCGCCTGTGAGCGCTCCGAGAAGGCCACAAGTGGGCCCGGAGAGAATCCAAAAGCAAGTGGAGTGACGCCACTTTCTTGTGGGCCATCTTGGAGGGCTTTTGGAGCTCTCTGGGACTCTCCCCTTGAAGCCTCTCGGGGCCCTCTCGGAGCTACATTGGGGCTCCAGGCAGAAGTCTGGCGAGCTCCTGGGAGGCTCCAATTTTCTTTCTCGATTGGTCGCCCGCGCTCAGAGACTAATCCGCGACCCTGGTAGCGAGGTGAGGCGTGAAGGCGCCGAGGACAAGGTGGCTTGTGCGGGGGGTGTCCCAGTTCGGCAGGGTCATATCCTCCGCTCGTGTGGGGCTCCTTTGTGAACTGCATAATGTGCCCTGGTTTCGGTTCTCCTGAAGCTGTCGTGGGAGCCGCTGGGCAAGTCCTGTCGGGACTCTTTTGGGCACTCTTGAAACAATTCCAAAAAACCGTGGGAGCCTCTCGGGGTGGCTCTGGGGTCCCAGTTGGTCCGTCTTCGGGATCTCTTTGGCCGTCTTGGGGGCCTCTAGGGCCATCTTGGGGCCCCCTTGGGGCCCTGCGAGGTCGGCTCGGAACCTTCTGGGGCCGGCTTGGGCCGGCTTGGCGGCCTTTGTGGCCGTTTGGGCCTCTCCGGGGCTTCTCCTGAGACCTTCGAGGACTGTCGTGGGGTCGTTTCGCAACCGCCCTGGCACGATCTGGGAGCATCGAGAATCAATGAATTTGGCCTCCGGAAGCGCTCCCTGGGAGTCTGTTGGGGCGGTCCTGGGGCGTCATGGGCTGTCTGGGGCCATGTTCGACAGGCTTGCGCCGTCTCCTGCGCCATCGGGGCCTCTCCGAAGGCTACCGAGGCGGCTCCGGGGGCCCGCCCGGAGCGGCCCAAGCCCTGGGGGGCCCCCCCAGACCAGCCCGGAGGGGACCGGTTCAGTGCCACCGCTCGCCATTTTCTCGCGCGCTGGCCGCAGTATTGTAGGACAGAGGACTTAGGGTTCCAGCTTCACCTCCCGCATGTCCCTGAGCAGCACCAGCGCCCGCTGCCACTGCTCGCCCTTTTTGCGCGCGGTCACACCGACATGTTCGAAAGATGGTGCCAATCCCCGTACTCACAATATTTGCCCAGCGCGGTCGCTGATACTGAATTCCTCATTGCATGCTCGGAAGCGCGAAAAACCGATCTGAGGATAGCAAGGAAATCCTGCCGAGTCGCGAGATGACCTCTCGTAAGCTATGATCCGCCATGGTGACTTTGGGCACAAAGTGGGCGTGTTCTCAACTCCTTTGCCTAATCCATCAAGACGCTGACAGGTCGCCCCAAGACGCGCAAGATGGCCTCCAGAGCGTCCAGTAAGCCTCCAAGGCGATCCATGAAAGCTCCAAGAGGCCTCCCAAGCGGGCCCCAAAAGGCCAGCCAACATTATTTACGGGCGCAACCCGTGATTTGACTTCCGGGAACTGTACTGACTGACTGAGCTGACAGCTGAATCACCAAAACGTCAAATGGCAAGTTTATTTCCGGGGGGTAAGATACTTCAGTGGCAGTTTAAAGCCACGGGGTTGCGGATATGTCGCTGGCAGTTTTGAGTCATGGGGGAAGGATATTTAGCTGGCACTTTTAGGCCCGGGGCGGTGAGGATATTCCGCTGGCATTGTTTAGGCCAGGTGCTGAAGATATTCGCTGGCAGTTCCACGTCCAGGGGGTAAGGAATGTAGCTGGCACTTTCAGGCCTGGAGCTAAGTATATTCCGCTGGCAGCTTTAAGGCCGGGGGTTGAGGATATTTGCTGGCAGTTTTCAGGCCACTGGCGGCGAGGATATGCCGCTGGCAGTTTTAAGCGATGGGTCGAGGATATTTCGCAGGCAGTTCTAAGTCCACAGGGTTGAGGATATTTCGGTGACAGATTGGCAAATTAAATCCAGGGGGTGAGGATATTCCGCTGAAGGGTGCAGCTATTCCGTTGGCAGTTTCAGGCAGCGGGGTGAAGATATTTCGCTGTCGGTTGAAGGCCAGGGGATGAGGACATGTCGCTGGCAGTTTCAAATCATGGGATTGAGGATACTTCGCTGACAGTTTGAGGCGAGGGGGGTGAGGATATTTCGCTGGCTGGCAGCTTTCAGTGAGGGGTGTGAGAATATTCCGCTGGAAGTTTAAAGTCCGGGGGTGGATGACATGTCGCTGGCAGTTTCAAGCAAGGGGTGTGCAGATATTTCGCTGGCAGTTTCAGGCGAGGGGTGTGATGATGTTTCGCTGGCAGTCTTAGGCCGTGGGGCGAAAATATTTCGCTGAGTGGTGTGAGGATCTATCGCTGGCAGTTCTTCACCAGGGCGGTGGGGATATTTCGCTTGCAGTTCTAGGCCAGGGGTTGAGGATATTTCGCTGGAGCCTAGTGCGGGCATCCACGCGCCACGCGATGCAGTGTTGGGTCTTGCCCTGCCTGGCCCAGCCGAGGGCTACGCATGCAGCGCGGTGTTGCGCCCGTATATTTGCTCGTCCCTTAGCGTGGGTCTGGCGGGGGGCCAAAAGGGCGAGCTGTCGGGCGTTTTGCGTATGTATTCCTAGCGAGTTCGGCTTCCGGCCGAACTCTGTATTCCTATTTCTGTGTATGTATGCGTGTGCATTGCTAGCGAGTTGCTCCAGGACGGCCCCGAAAGGCCCCCAAAGCCGCTGCAAGACGGCCAAAGAGGCCCCAAGAGGGCCCCCCAGAGGGCCAGCGCCCCGAGGCGGTCCGAGAGGGGGCGGAGACGGCCCACCCGGGAGGGTCGCAGGACGGCCTCCAAAGGGGCCCAAGAGAGTGAACACGAACAGAACATCCTACAGGGCAGTCTTTAAGACACAGGATTTTTTGTTTAACAAAAGACCATATAGGTTTTTGAATACATGATGAATTTATGAATCAATGTGTGCATGAACTCATCGTTGTTTTTGATACTAAATCCCTGCATTTTTCATACATGATCCGCACGCGGAGCATGTATTAAAAACGGCATCCCAGCCGTCCGCCACAAGAGGCCCCTAAGAGGCCTCAGGAGGCGCCCCAGGAGCTCGAAGGGGCCCCGAAGAGGCCACAAAGAGGCCACTAGAGGCCCCCAACCCAAGAGGCCCAAAAGAGGCTCCAAGAGGATCCAAAACGGCCCCCAAGAGGCCTCCAAACTGCAAAACGGCCCCGAGAGGCCTCCTGGGAGATCCCAACGAGCATGTAATAGGCTGCGTACGGTGGCGGGATGGGCCGAAGGCCACTCGATACAGACACCCAAATTGTGACTGACTTCGTCAAGCCTCATACTGCGCTCCCGCATCTTGCTGAGCAGCGCCACCGCCTGCCGCCACTGGCCGCACCTCTCGCACGCGCAGATCGCAGCGTCGTAGCTGATGGCATTGGGCTCCAATCTGGACTCCCGCATCTCGCCGAGCAGAGACAACGACCGTTGCCACTGCTGACCTTTGTCGCACGCGCTGATCCCGGCGCTGTAGCTGACCGCCAAAAAAATCAGAACGCAGAACATCGAACGTAGTCGCGTGCCGACTGCACCATTTGTCGCCTGCCTCATTGCTGGCTCGCTCGCTCGCAGCGGCTGGCTGCGGCTTGCGCCAGTGCTTGCCGCTACTTTACTGTTGATCGCTGCTCGTTGTCGGCGCTTGCCACGACTTACCAGCAATTGCTGGTGTGATGTTGCTTGCATCGGCTTGGTGCTGCTAAGTGGTGCTGCTCAGAAATCGTTGATGTTGCTTGACTGCTGCAGCGTACTGCCGCGTGACGTCGGGCTCCAACTTCGCCTCCCGCATCTCGCAGAGCAAGGCCAGTGCCCGCTGCCACTGCTCGCCTTTCTCGCACGCGCTGATCCCAGCGTTGTAGCTGACCATGACCCGTGGACTCCGTCCACGACATCTTTCTGGAATGCTTCTCGGACGAACGGCGGAGAATTTACCGAAAATCTATAAGCACGGCGGCGGCCGGGGCGGCGGCAGCGAGACCGCGCCTTCGCGTCCGAGCTCTTGCAGCGCTCCAGCAGCTTGGCCCCAGCGCACGGCTCGTTCGCCCCCTCCTATTGGGGGCAGTTTTGAAGCCTCGCGGGAGGCATCACAGCCGAAGCCCCTCTGAGAGGTCTCACGAGCGCCCGGGGAAGGGCCAGGGAGGCCCTCGGGGAGAGCCACCAGGAGCGCCGGGGAGGCTCGCAAGGATCTCCAGGGAGAGCCCAAGAGGGCTTCCAGAGGGTATGACATGTAATAAGGTCTTAACAGAAACCGCTGTTGGTTCCGACATGCTCTGCTACGTTGGGGAGGCCGTTTTGTAGGAGTTCTGTAGAAGGCGAAGCTCTCTCGGGCGTGTCAGAAGCGCTGGGCGAGGCAGTTGTCAAACCTATTTGGGCCTCTTGGGGGATTGAGGGCCTCTCAGGTCCTCTAGTCGGCCTCTTCGGGACCTTTTGGGACGCTCTTGTGCTGTCTGGGCTCCTCTTGGGCCATCTTGGGGCCACGTTCAGAGCTCCGCACGTCATCTAGACCCTCATGAGGCTCTCGTCTGGGCCTTCTCGGATTTCCTCCTCCTCCTCCTCCTTGCCCTGGATCTTGGATCATGTATCGTAGACCCTCGGAGCATCGAAAACTGCTGTTGGGGCCTGCGTTCTGCCTCTCACCTCTCGTCCGTCCCCCCGTCTTGGGCCCCTCTTGAGCCGCCTGGGGGACGTTTTGGACCGTCTTGGGCGGCTCTTGGGCCTGTCTTGGGTACCTTCTGGGCCGTCTTGGGGCCGTCGTGGGCCGTCTTGGGTGCCTATTGGGCCGCGTTCGGGCCGTCTTGGGCCATCTGGGGCCGTCTTTGGGGCTGTCTTGGGTGCCTCTTGGGCCGTCTTGGGCGCCTCTTGGGCCGTCCTGGGCCAGCCTTGGGGCCCTGATAGGGGGCAGCTTAAGACGATCGTGGGGGGCTCTGTGGCCGTCGTGGACGCATCGGAGACGAAAAGCACAAGAATGCCAAACATTGTAACTGTTCTAAGCGAGTGGGACGATTTTTGCTTCTCGGAGGTGTCCTGGGGAATCCTCGAGGGCCGTCTTCGGATGTTCCTGGCCTGCCCTGGGGGCCCTTGGGGCCGTCGGAGCGGCCTCTTGAGCGGCTGGGAGCGCCCCTGGGGCCGTCGGGGTTGGCTCTGGAGCGGCTCGGAACCGTCTTGGAGTCGCGGGGGCGCCCTCTTGAGCGGTTCGGAGCCGTCTGCGGGCCGTCGGGGCTGCCTCTGGAGCATCTCGGAGCCGTCGTGGGGCCGTCGGGGCGCCCTCTTCAGCGGCTCGGAGCCGCCGGAAGCCACTCTGTCCAGAAGCCTTTCTCGCACGCACTGTTCCCGGTACAGTCGGGGCCTTGACCTAAGGAACCCTAAATAAGGAACGAGGCCCCTTTTTCCCATATAGTAAACTCCGGTTTTCCATGGAAAACCTCCAGAACACCCGAGGAGCACTGCAAAGCAACTAAGGAACACGGAGCCCCCCCCACAACAAAAAAGGGTTCCTTCTTCCCAGGTCCCCGACGTCATGATTTTTTCATGACGCGACCCCCAGAGGTCCAGACCCATTCCCCGGGACCGGTTTTTCGTCCCGAGTCGTTTTTTGACTGTCCCGAGGCCCGGCAAGGGCCCTCAGAGGCCGAAAATTGAGAAAAACCTCCCGTCGTGATTTTTTCACGACGCGAGGAGGTCTGGGCTCAGGGCCCCGACTGTATTGTAGGAGAGATGCTGGTCAGGGCTGACCCGTGGACTTCCGCCCACGGCATCTGTGACAGGAACGGAAAGACGACGGCTGGTTGGCGGGAGGGCCTGCTGCCCGTGGGAAGGATCCATGGGCGGGGGGCAGGCGACGAGTCGGGATTCACTCCTCCTCCTCCTCCTCCTCCTCCTCCTCCTCCTCCTCCTCCTTTTCCTCCCTCCTCCTCCTCCTCCTCCTCCTCTTCCTCCTCCTCCTCCTCCTCCTCCTCCTCGCCTCCTCCTCCTCCTCCTCCTCCTCCTCCTCCTCCTCTTCCTCCTCCGCCTCCTCCTCCTCCTCCTCCTCCTCCTCCTCCTCCTCCTAGGGAGGCTTGAAAAAGCAAAGAGCGACCGTTGGGAATCGAGGGCGAAGGAGCGGGCGAGACGGAGCGGGCTGTGAGGGGGGGATGGGGGGGCAGGCAGAGGGACGAGCCGAGGGAGGCAGGAGATGCGAGGGGCAGTGGCCAAGAGGGAGCGAGGGGCAAAGAAGAGGAACGAGTCGCGAGCAGGAGTGATACACGAGAGGGGCAGGAAACGATGATGAGTGCCAGCACCCTCCCAGCAATTCTTAGCAAAGTAAAACACCGCCAGCCCCATTTGGGTCTTTAGGCGTGTTGAATTCAAACGGGAAGTTCACACGATTACTTTGAAGGGGCTATTTGCTGAAGGAAACAAGCCTTTGAGTAAAGTGTTGTCGCTCTGTTGCGCGACAGCCGCGGCGGCGCGTCCGTATTGCCGAGCCACGTCCTGCGCTCGCGCCGCAAATCTTCTGTCCAGGAGCATCAATGATTCGCTGAAGACATGTCCAAGGGTCGCCGCGACCCGATATAACGAGACCCTGATTACTCGAGCACTTGCATCGCGAGGTAAACTGGCAGGACAGACAAGGGCCCCCCGCCCCCCGACCAGGCCCTGGCCCCGCATCACCACCGCACCCCCGAAGCTTTATGAAGGCAGACCGCGGACTTTACTAACGCGAAGAGACGGCTTTACTAAATCGAGGAATCGGCCTTACTAAAGCGAGGAAGCGGCTGTACTAAAGCGAGGACGCGGACTTAGTAAAGGCGCGCCGCTCGATACACTCCGACAAAAAAAAGCTGTACTAAACCGAAAAGAGAGCTTTAGCAAACCTGAAGAACGGCCGGGGCACACCTGCGCGCAGAAGTCTCGCTCCTCCCGCCAAATCTGGCCCGGGACTTCAGGAGCGAGGGCGGGGCGCAAGTTCGCCCGTGCGACCGGGCTCCGTCGCCGCCGTCGCCGCGATGTTCGTCGTCGCCGCCGTCGCCTTTGCAGCCGTCGTCGTCACCGTCGGCGAAAGCGCCGCCGTCGTCGTCGCCGTCACCGTCACCGTCGCCGCCCGCGCATTCACGTTATTACGAGCGGCGGGTCGCGCGCGATCGCGCGCGCCACTGCGCTCGCATCTCCGCTCGTCCGAAGGGGGCCCAGGCGAAGTAAGAGTGACAAAAAACGCCTCTGAACTTCCCCCCATAATCCCCATCTTGGAGCGCCCAAATTGGGCATTCGACCCCCCCCTCTCCGCACAGCACGAACGCATTATGGGGGGCTCGCGGGCCCCAAGACAGCCAAAGAAGGCCCCAACAATCTTCCAAATCGGTACCAGAGGGCCCTGAATCGCCAGAAAATCGCCCGAAGACGCCCAGGGTGGCCCCAAGACGGCTCAAGAAGCCCCCAAGGCGCCCCGAGAGGCTCCCAAGAGGCCTCCCCCAAGAGGCAAAACTCGCCCCATTCCCGGAGGAAAACTTTTGCGTGATCCAGATTCGTCGATTGAGCTTGCACCGAGCCAGGGACGGCCCCAGAAGTCCCCAAAATCGCTCCGACGCAGCCCTACAGGCCCCCAAGGCGGCCCCAAGAAGCCCTCACGATGGCTCAAGATGGCCGCAGAGCGGCCTCGGAACGGCCACAACAGAGGCACAGAGGGGAACTTCAACGGACATTTCAATTCGCCTGCACCAGAAAGCAATCCAGAGGCCCCAACAAGCCCCCGAGAAGCCCCAAAGAGGCTCCCTCAGGCCCACAAGAGCTCCCAATGGGCCCCACGAGGCCCAACAAAAGCTAAAAACGTGCCTCCAAGAAGCCCCCGCAAGGACTCCCAGGAGAACCTATCAGCCATCCCAGTGGCCTCTCACTCACAACCCAGGAGCGGCGGCGGATGGGCCGAAGGCCACGTAACTCTGAAGCCTGGGACCCGCCCGATGTATCCTCCTCCTCCTCCTCCTCCTTCTTCTCCGTATCCCATGTCATCCTCCTCCCCCTTTTCCTCCTTCCCCTTCTCCTCCTCCTTCCCCTCCTCCTCCTCCTCCTCCTCCTTCTCCTCCTCCTCCTGTGGGCCTCTAGGCGTGTGAGACTGCCTCCCCCCCATGATTCCCCCCACTGAGTCCCCCCATGTGCGGATAGAGGGCTCCCCGACGACCCAAGAGGGCCCCACGACGCACCGAAGACCGACCAAGAAGGCCCGAGTCGCTGCAAGAGCGTTCCAGGACGCCCAAGACGGCCTCTTGGCGACCCAGATGCCCCCAAGACAGCCCGAAGCCCATCCTCTCGCTGTCACCTACATCACCATCACCCTGGACGTCGCCCCCAAAGCCATAGGGAACAATCAGCATTCAGGGGTGGTTGGCGGATGTGGCGTAAGCCAGTCATACTAATAAGACCAAAAAGCTTAATATAACGAACAATATTACTACTACTACTACTACTACTACCACCACCACCACCACCACCACCACCACCACCACCACCAATACTACTACCACTACTACCACTACTACCACTACTACCACTACCACTACCACTACCACCACTACTACTACTACTACTACTACTACTACTACTACTACTACTACTACTACTACTACTACTACTACTACTACTACTACTACTACTACGACTACTACTACTACTACTACTACTACTACTACTACTACTACTACTACTACTACTACTACTACTACTACTACTACTACTACTACTACTACTACTACTACTACTACTACTACTACTACTACTACTACTACTACTACTACTACTACTACTACTACTACTACTACTACTACTACTACTACTACTACTACTACTACTACTACTACTACTACTACTACTACTACTACTACTACTA